CTTAAAATTTCTCAGCTTACCTTGAGTATAAATCAGGAAATTGCGACGTTGAGAAGTGAAGTGGCAGCGATCAATACTCGTCCCTTGCATAATCCGGACTCAAGACCAAGTACTTACCGCTCAAGATCTCGATCTCGGAGCCGTCCTCTCCATGGTGCAAATGGATTATGCTGGTATCATTGGCGTTATGGATCACAATCGCGAAAATGCAAGTAACCTTGTACCTATAATTCGGGAAACGTGACAGGTCATCACTGATGACGGCCAGTGAGACCAGTCCGTCCCCGCGCCGTCTATTCATTACTGATCGAAATTCTCAAACTCAATTTCTCATCGACACAGGTGCCGACCTATGTGTTTATCCACGTAGTGCTGTTCCAGACCGACGAGTAAAATTCGATTACGTCCTATCAACAGCCAATGGCACTCCTATTAACACCTACGGTACTATCACGCTCAGCCTCAACTTCGGACTTCGTCGAGATTTCACTTAGAGATTTGTGATCGCGGAAGTATCCAAACCCATCATTGGTGTGGACTTCTTGACTCATTACAATCTATTGATAGACGTGCGTAACCAATGTCTTTTAGACGGTGTTACACGACTCACCTCTCATAGTCACGCTGCTGAATCCTCTATACCATCCATAAAGATTGTCGTGGGAGAAACAAAATACGACTGTTTACTACGGAAATTTCCCGAGATCACTCGACCATATGGAGCGCCTAAAGACATTAGGCACAGCACCAAACACTATATTCAAATGACACCAGGACCCCCAGTATCTTGTAAACCACAACGCTTAGCACCTGATAAGCTCAAGGCAGCAAAAAAGGAGTTTGAAGCTATGATCCAATTAGGCATTATTCGACCGTCCCAGGGACCTTGGGCATCACCATTACACTTGGTATCAAAGAACACAACGGACGCCTGGCGTCCTTGTGGGGATTACCGTGCTCTAAATGCTCGGACTATTTCAGATCAGTACTCGGTTCGTCATATTCAGGACTTTGCACACTTTCTCCACGGTAAAACGATTTTTTCAACAATCGACCTAGTCCGAGAATATAATCAAATTCCTGTAGCTGAAGAAGATATTCCTAAAACCGCAATCGTGACACCAATTGGACTTTACGAATTCCTCTTTATGTCTTTTGGGCTTCGAAATGCAGCACAATCGTTTCAACGATTTATTGACGAAGTACTTTTTGGACTTGATTTCTGTTACAGCTACATTGACGACATATTGGTGGCATCTATTTCTGAAGAAGAGCACATCAAACATTTACAGATCATTTTTGAGCATCTACGCGAATACTCTCTGATTGTCAATCCAAAAAAATGCGTTTTTGGACAGTCAGAAGTAAAGTTTTTATGCTACATGATTTCTAGAGAAGGAACACGTCCTCTACCTAATAGAGTCACTGACATTTTGAGCTACAAGAGGCCATCGTCCGCTAAGGGTCTACGACAGTTCTTGGGTATGATAAACTTCTATCGTCGTTTTATACCTGGAGCTTCAGACGCACAAGCACCACTAAGTGATCTTTTGGTATCCAATTTAAAGGGTAAGTCACCTATTAACTGGACACCAGAGGCTATTTCGGCTTTTGAAAAATGCAAGGAGAAACTCGCCATAGCCACGTTTCTCGCACATCCATGCGACAACGCTCGACTGGCTATTGTAAGTGATGCTTCAAACACCGCAGTTGGCGCAACTCTCCAACAGTTCATCAATAATGAGTGGCAACCTCTTGCCTTCTTTTCCAAGAAGCTCACAGCGACCGAGACGAAATACGGAGTCTACGATCGAGAACTTCTCGCGATCTACCTTGCTGTCAAGCATTTTCAGTATATGGTGGAAGGACGCGATTTAGTTATATTCACTGATCACAAACCCATCAATTTTGCATTTCAGCAGAAATCGGATAAATGCACACCACGACAATTCAGACACCTAGACTTTATCTCACAATTCACCACGGATATTAGGTATGTTCCAGATAAGCAGAATATCGTGGCTGATACCTTATCTCGCGTTGACGCCTTGTCAGAGACAATAGACTACACTGCATTAGCGATATCACAACAGGGAGACAATGAATTAAAAAAATACGAAAAAGAAAACACTGGACTATAACTCAAGCAAGTTCAATTACCAGGTACAAATGTCTTAGTGTTCTGTGACGTATCAACTTCAATCGCCAGGCCTTTTGTCACAAAGCCATTCCGACGTAAAGTTTTCAATAATATACATTGCCTTGCACATCCAGGTGTCAAGGCCACGACGAAGCTTGTTAAACAGCGATTCGTGTGGCCAGCAATTGACGCAGATTGCAGACATTGGGCGAGGGCATGTGTAGAATGTCAACGAGCCAAAATCACGCGCCATGTCACAGCACCTCTTGGTTCATTTTCTTTACCATCTCAAAGATTTGAACATGTTCATTTAGATCTAATCATTATGCCTTATTTTGAAGGATTTTGCTATTGCCTCACGTGTATCGATAGATTTACTCGATGGCCTGAGGTAATTCCATTGGAAGATCAAGAAGCGGCAACCATAGCACAAGCTTTCTATACGCATTGGATCGCAAGATATGGTACCCCTCTTCGTATCACAATAGACCAGGGAAGACAATTTGAATCATGCCTTTTCGAGCAACTTAATAACTTGACTGGCACGAACCATCTTAGAACCACGGCCTATCATCCGTCAGCAAATGGCATGGTGGAACGAAGCCATCGGCAGCTTAAAGTCGCCATTAAATGTCATCAAAATAATCGATGGACAGAAACTCTTCCGACAGTCTTATTGGGCATCCGAGCAGCTTGGCGCGACGATCTCAAATCCATCTCTGCAGAATTAGTCTATGGAGAGCCACTTAGACTCCCTGGTGAATTCCTAACGTCAAAAGATAATGCTGCCAAGTTCGACGACGCAGCTGAGTTTATCAAAGATCTTCGACATCACATTCAGCAGATCCGATCTGTCAATGGTACACGACATGGCGAGAAGAAAAACTTTGTTTTCAAGGACCTTGCAACCACAGAGTACATATTCATTCGACATGACGGACCCAAAAATGGAATACAAATGCCCTATGTTGGTCCCTACCGAGTTATAAGTCGAAATAAAAAAACTTTTGTCATTGATAGAAAGAAGAAAAAAGTTAGAGTAACTATTGATAGACTTAAACCGGCCTAATCATAGTAGACGACCATTCTAAGGAAGATATTTCGAGAGAAATTCAGACAACTACACCGAATATCATTACAAAGGAGGATCAAAGGACACGTTCCGGAAGAAGAGTTCGTTTTCCAGACCGTCTTCAAGTAGGTTATGTTTGACTCCGTCACTGGTAGGGGAGTGATGTGGTGACGTAAACAACGCACCGTGAATCGTCCAAGTTGTTTACAATATTGTCAGTGTATAAGGGGAAATCCCATGTTCTAGAATATGTGATGATTATCTCGTTAAGGTAATTTCGAGAATGTTCTAGACAATCGACGCCGATATATATATACCAGCTGGTCAAACGCTCAATCAGTCCGTGAGTACAATCCGCGACACACCGTGAATTACACTCGGCGATATATTCGGCAATTCTTCCGCAATTATAACGCGTATCGATATTTGTACATACATATTTATATAATACAGTGTCTATTTTAATTGTGAGTAATTTTTATTACTTAAATCCCACAAAAAATAAATATCTTTTCTCCGATTATTAATAATAAACAATATAACATCTAAATGCTATTTGTTTCATCATTGTTACACATTGCCAAAAACATAATATTATTCTCTTCAGTAGTGAAACAGTTTACAACAATTAAGTTTTAATCAATGATAGATAATTCACAAAAAAAAAAAAAAAAAAAAACAACTTAGAAACATTGTAAAATAATAAAACACAACATTTAATTTTATGCAAAATGTTTTTCTTAACATTTATTTATTTTTCATACAAAATATACTATTAAATTAACACAAATAATAATAATTTATTTTAATTTTAAATTAATATACATTTTCAAACAAAAAATAATAATTGAAGTATCATAATTTAGTTTTTAATTGAAACAACAATTTTTTAATTTACTTATACAACAGTAATAAATTATATAATTACAATTTTGCCTCCACATTTTCAGTCATTAGCGAGCACAATCATATAATATTTATTATTATTTATAATAATAATAATAGAGAAATACTTTGTCCAATATGGTACCTAATTTTAATGGTCAACCTTAGACACTAATCTAATCTGAACGATTTTAAAATGATATATCAACTTTTAACCATTTAGTATTTTAAGTAATAATAGTTATAAACAAAACAAAATACAAAATAATAATAAAATATAAATACAGGAACTTTTACAAATTCAAATGATTACTACAAAAACCTTTTTGTCAATTATTTGGAATTTGGTATTGGCAAGAGTCATAAAAAGGTTTTAAAATGTTTTCTTAAATTGTTTTAAATTGTTTTATACATTATTCATACACATATAATGAAATTATTTTACAATATAAATTTTTTTTTATAAATTTTAATTTTGGAAAAAAATAAAAGTTAAACAATTGTGAGAGGATAAAATATTAAATAATATTTTTTTACAATAACTACATGGTTATAATTTGTCACTTGTTTTAAGATAATACATAATACAATATAAAAAAAATTTATTCATATAACGAAAGTGTCTGTACAAACAATAAATAATAGTATTAAATATAAATATAAAAACAAAAAATCTGTTAAAAAAACATTAAAACATACACAAGAATAGAATTAGATAATAAAAAAATATTGATTTATAACATGTATCATCACAATGTTCAAAACAAAATAATTGAAAAATATTCAATATCAATAGTCCTGATATAAATGAAAAATCTTCAAATACTTAGTACATATTATAAAATAAAATAGTTAAGGAGTATTCAAAATAAACAAAACTTGTAATTATACATAATTGTTGTTAATTAATATTTGTTCTTTTAGATAACAGATTATAGAAAACCCTATATAACATCAATAAGACGATATATAATATACAGACAATGTGAGGTTAATGGGAACTAACACATACATTTTATAAGGTAAAAATAGGACTATAATATCATAATATACAGTTGCATGTTTTAGATTTGATTGACAATGATAGTAACCAAATTGAAATATATTAACAAATAATAATTACGTATAATGTAAAATAATACAATAAAATGTATAATATACTATCTTATAGTATACATGACTTATGAAAAACAGTCTCTTTCTGAAATTTCAAACACTGTACATTATTCCTCTCTAAATCTTCAGCTACAGCAAACAACAAGGAGTGATCTCATTAATTTTTCATTCGAACCCTTTCAACCGTGGCGGGTCTTCTTATATGACAAACTGGTTTTCATATATTTTTTATTTTTCTCTGTTTTCTGTATAATAGAAAGACACAAGGCAGACTAAAGAAGCAGAAAATTTATAAGAATATTTTTGAAATGATAAATGAAAATGTCATGTATAGATAAGTTACTTATGGAGAATAATAATTTAAAAAAAAAAAAATTGGTAAAGAAACAAATCCAAACATAAGAAATCACAAAATATCTAAAGTATGAAAAAACAATGTATGAATTAACTTACAATTAATAGTTACACGAAAACATACAAAAACACAAATCAAAATAATAATTGGCAAATAAAAATGAATAACATATTAATCATCGTGGAAGTACAAAGAATTGAAGTAGTCAAGTCTCCGGATGCGGATGGATCGTTACCGTTCGTGAAGCATCAGACTTCGGTACCGTCCTCACCCTCATCTTCGAACAACGGACCGCCTTTGATCTTGGGCTTTGGGGGCGGTTTGGGTGGCACCTTGCGCTTGATGTTCGTCTGGCTGGCCGGCTTGAGCACACCCGATTCGGGTGTGCCCACACGGTTCGGCGCCCAGCTGCTCCTGTTCCGCGTGTCCATCTCCACCAGCGGCGAGTAGTTGGGCGGCAGTGCGTTGTGCACGATCTGCGGCTGCGCGTCCTGTCCACCCTTGTCCGATGGTGACCTGGGAGCAGGCGACGGTACCCTGCTGTCCGCGTCCGCGTTGTTGAACCTGGGACGGACCGCGGGGCCGGGGCCCGAGCCGCCGTGGAACAGTTTGGTCTTGTGCGGCAGCGTCTGGCTGTACTGCGGCGTGGGCCGGACCACGGGGCTTTGCGATTCGGCCACCGCCTTGGTCAGCGACAGCACCGAGCTGCCGTCGGCCGTGGTGCGCGGGCCTAGATTGTCGTAGACCGGCTCGCACAGCCGGCCCACGCCTAGCGGGTCGTCCAGGTGGCCAGTGGGCGTGGTCGCGGCCGCGCTGCTGGCCCAGCTGGGCACGCGCGGTCGTCTGGGTATGGTCACGTAGCCGGCGGGCGGCTGCGCTGGACGGGAGTTGAACGGCGACTGGGACCGGTTGTAGGGCAACGTGCCCGAGTAGATCGGGCTGTGCAGCGGCGACTGGAACGACGGGATAGTGGACACTATGCTGCCGGCCGGTGAGCTGTGGCCGCCGCGGGGAAACGCCAGCAGGTCCGGAGGGTGCGTGCCTTTGCGGTACGAACGGCCGCCTAGTGTCGAACTGCCACCGTGGCCGCTGCCGCCGTCTCCGACGCCGCAACCGCCGTCGATGCTACCCTGCTCGTCACCCGACTCGCCGTAACACTGTTCTTCCGGATCGCCTGCAAACCAAAAACATACCATGAAATCAAGTGATGGTGAATTATCCAACGGAGTACTATCTCAAGAGGTGTGGTTCTAATAATAATAATAACAATATTAATGCGTATTGCAGTGCTTTGCTGCTGGCAAGAAGCGGATACGGCATTATACTTAGGGAAAGAATTGTGTCCGTGCACCAATTATTTATTGATGGAATTAAAAAAAATTAGAAAAAACAACTAAATAAAACAGGCGAGACGAAAAATAATCAAAATCTGTGCTTTGAAAAAAAAAAATGTTCTGTTCATGCAATTGAAGAATGTTTTTCTTTTAGTTTATACAAATCTTATTGTATAAACATTACAGTTATTTGCTGATCAAAATGTCTTATATGTTGTCCTCCAATCATTTTAATGGTTTACAATCTATTTGAAAAAATGTGTTCATAATCAACACTGATTATATAAATATTTTTTCGATGAAGAACGTGCGTATTATGTATTTGTACTTTGTCATGTGAGAAATCCATAGAACATTAAATTATAAAATCATTTTTCATAGCCTGTGAAGTCGTAAAAATAATTTCTTTTCCAAATCACTCCTACGCACAAATACAGTACCGTACGTCGTATGTGAAAATAATGATAAACGAAATAGGAAAAACAATAAATAATAAAATACATACACCCGAAAGGGGCCTAGTGACATTTACGATAAGAAAAACGTGTTTGTAACAAAAAGAATACGTGCATTTTTGAATAATAACATTGGTATAATATAATCGACCGAGGGAAGTTAAAAAAAAAAAAAAGTAACCCAAGTGTTGTTCGACAAAAGAATTAAATAGGTACCGCAGCTATTGATGTTTTTTGCTCAACCTACCGTAGGATACATTTTTCGGCTCAACTGGTTTTCTCGGATATTAATCTCGAAAGATGGACACAGCAAGCTAAATAGTTGGAATCATGACAAAGACACGCGATCATCAGCTTTTAATGAACGTTTTGTGGCGTTTATGTAAATACACTATTTCTGCTAGCAAGAACGAAATGTCTTAGAAACGATTTTTTTTTTCGGTATCGCACAACAATCGTAATTGTGAACTACTATCACTTGACGATAAATTCAACAGGAGGAAATAATAACAATAGTAATATTAGAAAAAAATCATTATTATTTAGACGAATCCCATACTTTGAGATACATCGCTTTTTTTTTTTTTTATTGTGTGAAAATTGTTAACACCTTAAAACCGTATACATGACGGACGCGGTTAAACACGTGTCATCATTCGTAGTCCATTTAAAATTTGATTATCGTTCAATTACATTTATATGGACACTAAACTTAATTTCTTTAGTAAACGATACCCTAGCTGCAATTAGAAGAAAATTACAATCGCTAGACGGGTTAAAACGAACGGCTGTTATCTAAGCCTTTCCTTATTAACGAATATTGGTAAGCAAGCGGGCCGAGGTACTGAAATAAGTCCAACGGAAACGGCAATACTAATCGAAGCTATAATTAAGAATCTCAAAATGTTTGTATTAATTTTATGTGCATTTTTTAAGCCCAGCCTCGGTAATGAAATTTCAAACAAATCTGATGTTAAACAGCGTGGTGAATATAGAAATAATTTTTGATATAAAGACCAGTTTTAATAATAAGTTCTTAATGAATTTCACACCATGTACGGGCGGTTGAAATAGCGAGAGAAGAAACAATACAAAACCGATCACCTTCCATTTTAAATTATTCTTTAAAAGATCAAGAATAAATTGATTAAGTTAGAAAATCAGAAATAATTAGAAATAAGAATTTTTCTTCATATATATCTTTTTGACCGTCATCTATTGTTTATTTGTTTTTATTCATTTATTTTTATTTTTACTTTCATTAATTTTTAATTGAATATTTGTTGAATTGTAGCATATTAGTTATAATATTCAAGGATTATATATAAATGCATACCGTTTTCAATAAAATGATAATTTTAGTTATTAAAGTTGCACTATAAATTGTAATTTAATATCGATAGGTAATTAACAATATTTTTAATGCAGATTTGTTTAAGTTTATAAATTATTCCGAGTTTAAATAATACGAATATAGAGTAATATAAAATGTTGAACTAATTCTAACGTAAACGTAAAGTGATGAACCGTGGTTCCGTTTACACAATTACCACAGAACGTGTAATAATTTCATGTAGGATTAAAACAATATTAATATAATATTTATATTTAATTTGCATGACCGGAAAATACCGTATTAATTATATCAAATCAACATAAAACGAGTCAACGTTATAGCGACCCTTTCCCACCCGGTAAGGTATATAATTGACGCGCTATATTGATTGATACCACGGGTTGCCCCTACGAATGATTAATTATCATTGTTATTAATAAGTCTCGATCGGTCTCGATTTTGGGTCATTATTTCGGACGGTATTACCAGGCGATATGACAGCGTGCCGTGCGTTACTTATGAAATTTTCTATTATTGAACTTGGAACGGAAAAGGCACAACAAAGTCAGAGTATACAATAGAAAACGGAATGAAAAACAATAATAAAACTCGCAACACAATAATATGAATGTACATCAGTGACCGTAGCACAACACAACTACAATAATAATGGACTTCCTTCGCCCAAGCGGCAGATGAATTGTGAATAAACAGAACATTTCCAATTAGAATAATCCTGTGTCAGCAGTACACGGAGAAGGAAACCGAATAGTTTTAGAGTATTATTCTCTTTTTTTTTAAATATATTGTCTTATAAGTTTTTGCTTCGGTAAAAATGCAAACAATATAAAATAATATAAACCGATTTATTTCAGACATGTTTTTATACATCATTATTATAATTCACGTCACACGCACCCTTATTCGTCGTTTCGTTTGGATGTGACGACGGTGGTCGTGATCCACTTTTCATACGCTGACTTGGTACCACATACTACTGCCAAACCTAATTTATTATTCAACTACTACAATTGCTAATAATACTACTTTTACTGTAAAAATTTCTTCTACACTATTACTTATGCAGCTACCAATACGAATAATATACCGTCAATCTACAGTTGTCGTGCCTCCGACTACGTACGAGTAACCTATGTCTTCGTGCGTAATATACGTAAACACACGTCGGAAATGCTTGTTGGACATGCGTACGTGCGCGCGTTTATCGGATATGAAATATTTATTCGTTATCAATCATGACATACTTTTTTTGTGGGATGAGCGTAGGAGGGGAGTTTATTTATACAGCGGAGTATTATATTATGACGTTTATGCCGAAGAAAGGTAACCGGCCCGTCGACTGAAACGTTCGATGATAATTAGATTCTAACAGGTATAATAAAAAAGGATCGAACAATGTCAACAATGACGGTTAAAATATTTTTTAACAACCGAGAAACTCCAGAAACGTTTACCCTTTAAAGCCACGTAGAAACCCAACTGAACAGGAGAAGTATGGTGCGTGACTAGATTTATTTTACTCGAATAAAAAGTATAGTTTTATAGAACACGATTTTTCCGAGACCGTTCGCGGGGGCCTGAATCGATAAGCATAACAAAATCCGTTGTCATTATGCAGTTGTCTACAGTGTTCCACCGGAAAATCAGGACGTTATTGAATACGTTTTTGAAATTCAAATCCGGCGCCGAGTTGATAAGAGGAAATAATAGAAGTCGTGGTTGTTATGACGGAAGAAGTGTGGAGGAGCGTGTGGTACCGCAGTATTTGAAAATGTTTTTGATCGTCGAACAAGCATTCGTATCATCACCGAAGTCTCGATAAATACATTTTCTATGTTTCACGAATTTAGTTACAGGATAAAGTAATCATATTTACTATAAATTTATCATGTACAATCGCGCCGATCCGTTTTCGATGTATTACACGGCAGCAATAATTGAACCGATAGTTAAATAACGTTAGTTATACACTGGCGGACCGAATCGCAGGGCTGCAGACGTCGAAAACATTCCCGAAAACAGAATATTTATTAAATGTCGTTTCCAAATGAATAGATACAGTGGCAGGAGGTGTTGAAACGCGAATCTAAACAACCCTCCTCCCTCCCGTGGGTGGGGGTGGCGGAGAGGGCGCAAATGATATAAAAACAACTACGAACGTGCACAACATAGTATATTATACTACATAAGACGTGTTGTATGATACGCGATGACAACGGCCGTCTCGTTTTACCTAGCCGAAAAGGCGATTCATACTCCGGCGGTATACGCATAATGTGGCGGGCGCGGGCGGGACCGACGTGGCGGCTAGGACAGCGTTGGCGCGTTCGACGAGACGGAAAAAACCGTCACCGGTGCACAGCCGAAGGTGTCGGGTTGCCGGCCACTGCAGCGATCCGGATCGGCCGTGGCCACAGGCGCGGCGGTTCTCGGGCCTGGCCGCGACCCGCTGTTGGCGCGAGAACGGAGAGGAAACGTATCGCCGCCGCCGCACCCCGGGCGGGGTACGAAACGAGAATATTAATTTCACACACACGTCCCATTACGCGTTACACGTACACGTTTGACCGGGCGGTAAACGTACCTACACACATAACACACCATAATACGATAACGCGAGCGACGGGCACGCACACGCGATCGTCGCACGTAGTGGTATCACACGTACGTATCGTCGCCGTCGTAAACAACGGGCGAAACCGATTTCGCGTGCTCGTACCGGTAACGCGCGCGTTCACGCTCGCGCGCGCGCACGCACGTCTTGCACGCGCGAGCGTTATTTCGCGGCACGAACGCGATTCGAACACGTGTCGGGTTTCTGTTGCGCGCAACCGCCCGCCCCCTACTACTATTCTATCAGCTCTCGCGATTTTTTTTTTTCTTTTTGCTTTTTCTCTCGCGACATCCATTCCGTTTCCAGATTCGTTTAGAAAACTCGATTTCTTCGCGTCACCCAGTCGGCATTTATAATTGCTATACGGTCGCGTCGCCGAAGGATCTGCGAACCGGTAGAATGTAATAACACTATTCGTATATATACCGCGTAGCGACTTGGTTATATTGAAATCATCCTATAGCTGTGAGAAGCAGGCATTACGTAGGAGGTCCGGGTGATAAGTCCAAATATTAAAGTTTATAGAGACCCCTAATATCGCGTGGAATATCCGAATCGTAAATATATATAAAAAAAAATAAAAAAATTTAAAAGATGAAATATTGATTTTCTTATGTGACGCGCATGTAGGTTTCCTCACGGAAAATGGCAGAGAATCTAATCCCAGTTACAAAGTAACGCCATGGGCATCTATTCATTTGAGGCACATTAAACGATAAACCTTTGGCTTCATCTTTATAGCGGTTCGCTTTTACCTATACGCAAAGTGCGCGAGACGGTGCCATTTCGATGAAAACACACGTGAAAAAGTGCATGTAGCTATCGCTATATCTATATCGTGATGGTATCTACAATATACTCGGATGGTTTAATATTAACAACAGTTATAATATAAAATGGTAAACAACGATCTGTGCGAATTATCTTCAGAACACTAAATGACGTATACTGACCGCTAATGGACGTCTCGTCCAACAAGTTTCTTTTCAGCTCGGTCATCTCAGTACCAGTTGGCGACGATTCGTATCTCCTAGGTGGTTTCTGCACTGGATTGACGACAGCCAAAAGACTCTTTTGTTGTTCGGACGGCTCGGATACCAACGATGTTACATGATTGGGCACGTCACCGTTGGAAAACCCGTTTGTGTGTAGTTTTTTCGGTTGCATCATGGATCGACGTCGACAACAGCAAAGGCAACACACGATCAACAGCAGGATGATTATGAAAATGCCAGCCACCAAACCTATGATGATTGGTAACGATTCTTTTACGCTCACTGTAGTGCCAAGAATACCTTTTCCACTGTTACTCTGCAAATTAAACACGTCCATTTTTAGTAGTATTATTTTTGCAACAATATAATATGGTAAAAAAAAAAAAAAATACTCATAATAACCCTTTAGGTGTTTTTAATCAGTTGACGTACTGAGCGGCAAAGAAATTTTATTTTTTTTTTTACCTGAACAATTACAGTGATTTTACGCTCTTCTAGACCGGCCGGGTTTTGCGCGATGCATTTAAATTCCGACTTTCCCATTAGTCGAGACCGGGACACGGTCAGATTTATCCATTTGGCCATGGTGTTGTCTACGCTTTCGTAAACCGTGAATTTGTAATCACCGTGCGAATAATTCGATATAAGACGATTGTTGAATACCCACTGGACACTGGGCATAGGTTCGCCATATATTTTGCAGCCGATTGTTAATTCTTCGTCGTCTAGACTGAATGTTGAACTCTCAGCGGGATATTGGATGACTGGTTGACAAGCAAAGTCATCGGATTTGAGGTCGCCCCACAGTTTATCCAGGAGTCTCACGGGTTCGGTACACGATGCCGTTTTCGAGTAAAGATTCCTTTCCATGACCTGAATATACAAAAACCATAGTATAACGAGTCACTGACAATAAGTTTCGACTAACTATGTATAAGGACAACATGCATGCTACTCATTATATTTTTATAATATACAAACCAAGTTTCTGAAAGGCCTAAGCTGACAATCACATCGCCAAGGGTTGTTCATGATTCCCAAGTCCATCAGACTGGGCATCGAGTTCAAAACTACGGAGTTAATATTGACCAACTTGTTTCCGTTCAGCTCTAGTTTGTTGATTTTAGTGACGTTGTAAAACGCCATCGGCTCTATAGTTGATATCAGACAATCCTTGAACTCAACCGTTTGTAGGAACGACATGTTACTGAACAGTCCGTTCTGCAATGTTTGTATACGATTGTGGTTCAAGTTGATTTTTCGCAATCGGATAGTATCGAGAAATGTGGTCGGATACAGCACATGGATTTTGTTGTCTGATAGGTCCAATTCGATTAGAATTTTTAAACTGCGGAACGCGTTCTTATCGACATTTTCGATAGAACAACTGCGTATGAGCAGTTTGTGCAAGTTGATCAAACCCACAGACTTGAACGCGTCTTGTTCGAGTTTAACTAGATTGTTGTTGGACAGGTCAAGCACTTGCACCATGTCACTTAGGTTTTTGGGTATGCTGGTCAGACTCGTGTTTGTGCAATCTGCCAGTTTATGTCCACTTACCCACTTACATTTACACATCTCGTGGCACTTAGTGTCCCAGTCTAGTGAGTCGGTCACTGTATGTGATGCAATGGACAGCAACACAGCCACGATAATCAGTGAATATGGACCAATCATTGTTTACGCATAACACACCTGAAAAAAATTTTCGTTATTATTATGATAATTTTAGCATATAGTATGATTCAGTATACAACAACTGTAAAATGTATTTAAATACCTAGCTTATATAATAATGTTATATATTAAATACAAATATATTTACAGTTATGGTTCGAGAATGTTCTATACAAAAACTAAATGTTCCGAGTAAATTACTTAAATTAGAAACTACTTATATGTTTACATAAAGGTTATTTAGGCTATCCTCAAAATATGTTTAACCAAAATACGCATCCTATTTTAAAGCTTAAAAAGTAGAAGGAATACAATCCGAATGATTGGTATTTAGTACATTAACGAAGAAATGCATATGAAATTAGAATACCGACGCAATATTCTCCTGAATAGTTTGTTTGAATATTCAAAAACCGTAATTCACATATATATTCAATTGCTAGGTAAATGTGTAGTCATGAGTAAATAATATAATCATTTTGAACATTGGGAAACAAAACATTTATCATATCCAAGGATTACTATTAGTATTTGCTTTTGTAACACGAATGTATTGGTAATTTATTTGAATTTAAGTGCTATAATAATAGTACACTTATAATAAGGCAGAATAAAATATTGATTTGTTTGATATATATATATATAATTAACAATTTGAAGATATAAATTAAAATAAAATTTAAAAAATACTGTTTTATTTAGTAGTTGTCTACTGTTTATCAACGGTTTATATTTAATTAAAATGCCATTCATTCATTCACTGATCTGCGTACAGTCTAAACTACCATACAGATTCATCTAAAATTTTAAAGGGTAGATACGATAATGGGCTTTAATCTAGATGCATAAATTTTTTCAATTTTTGATTATCTAGGAAATGTTATATTGTTTAATGATGCGACTTTGGTAATTACCGTTTTAGATATATGCAAAATATAGGTTAAATAAAAAACTAAATATCTTAAAACTACAACACGATTGAGCATTTTTTTTTACAACGAAGTAGGTAAGCGGTATTTGCTTTAATCAAAAATAGTAAAATATCTCTCAGGCAAGGCCATGTAATTCAGTTAATATACGAGTATATAATCCTTATCACTATGCATATGTTTAAAATTACGTTTTACATGACGAATATTTTATTAATAATTGTTGCGTATTCTAAAGTATGACTCATTTTCCTACACGGTAGTCTCACATACTTGTACTAACATACAAAATAAATTCATAAAACACATAGGCACAATATTCCATTAAGAATGTTGAAATGGCAATTTTCAAATTAATAAAAAGTGAGTAAACGGTAACTAGAAAAAAAAATCTTGAAACTGTGTATACAAATAGCTTGCATACAAAGAGGTTTAGCCATATTAGTAATGAAACGATGCTATTGTATACTGCAAGCATATTTTATACAGTCCCAGCTATAAATATATATTCATAAATTTGTTCATCTACATGGAAAAAAATCCATCTTTTTAATATTCACCCTTTATAGTTCAATGAATTTTCATTTAAATTTAAATTTTTTTTTTCAGTATGTTGTCCATAATAATTATTAAATATTGCATTAATTATGTTTTTATTTTACTGATACTTGGGATGATACACAAAAGGGGTTCATATGAACTATTAAACTAACTTGACAACATTTATTGGCAATTAATAAAACAGAGATTTAAAACGCAAAAGTAAAGCAAAAATAATATAACACATTTTGTGCGTAACCGGAAAATATATACCATAAATACAATACTGAAATGACAGGCATATCAAACAGCTCAGAACACAAATTAATTCATTTTGTTTTGCCTTCTTTTTATATAAATTAATTATTTAGAGTGTACGGATTTTAAGAGTAAATAACACAGCAATGTTTTAGTATATAAATTAATTAGTGTTAAAATAAAAATACTTTTATTTTTATCGCGTTTAAATAGAAATAAAATAGAAAATCTCTAATAAAGAATTGCAATAAAATGTTTTCTTTAGTTGAAGAATTTTAAAATCATTTAGTTGAATTACATTTAGGTTAGTTTTAGATCTAAAGATCTAAAGACGTTTAGTCTTTAGATCTTATCTAATTATTTGTGTTCAAACGGAAGAAGACATTATAATGAACATGTTTATTATAAACGCATAATATTATGTATTATTTATATTAATATTTTATATTATGAGCAGATGTAATACAATTAAAAATAAACATTTAACACAGTGTTGTAACCAATAAATAACTCTGAATATTTAATTTTCCCCATGAATTTTTCTACCGTTTATTACCTTATTTAATAACTTATAAGGTATTATATATACAATAAAATTAGTTATAAAAACAATTATTTTTCTCTCAACATAACATATGTAAATAATAGGAAATTCATTGATAAATATCATAAATGTTGATGAAACATGGAAATACATATTTTTTTCGTTTTATTCATTTAATTTTGATTACGTTAAATGGTGGTTATCAATATAATCATAATCAGGAATATTTAAAGAATATATATATATATATATGTAATTACATATAATAAAAATAAAAAATTTGATTACAAATACATTTGTATTATCTTTAGAAATCCTCACCGTCCCGAGTAAATTGCGGATGCACCGTGTTTTCCTTTATCTACTTATATATGTCTTGTTTTATTTTTTTAAATTTTTCAGTAATTTAACATAATACTAGATGATTTAAACCTAATCTTATAATTTCGATAACATGCAACTAATGGATCTATCTAGATTGTCTAGATATGTATTCGATACAACTATAGCCAAGAAAATAATTAAAAGTACAAAGATATCTATTCAAATGTAACCTAATATAATAATTTTAAGTTTCTTTTTGTTTTTTAGTGACGCAAAAGATCCTCCTACTATCCGTTAGTACTTAGTTTACCGTTTGCGTAATAACGGTTATTTTATTTTTTACAAAATTCTGGAAATTAATTTCAGTAAATTGTTTTTAAATTCTAGATATAACATCATTGATTACGTTCACGATTATTAATGATTATTTGTGTACATAATACATCCTAACATAATAAAGGGTTCTCGGACTTAGGGATGTATTGGTTTTTTCTTTCTCGTTACCAGAAATATTAAGGAAGTCAATGTGTGTTTATTTTGTATATTATAAATAACAAGCACTGAACATCGTATTTTGGTTTTATCTAAATGATGCACATATATATTATTTAGTTATATACCTAAAAAATATTTTATTAAACCATTATAATGCCTCTTGTAAGTTTACGCTCAGGAGAATTTGTCCCCATATTTACCCATTCCTTAGCGCACACACCACTATGGATGAGCTTAATTTAAACTAATACCAAATTAAATATTGTTGAAATAATAATTATGTGCAGTTAATTTACAATGAAAATAATTATATTCTAAGGATAAATAAAAATAAAACCTTTAATAATTATTTTTAAATAATAATAATAATAATAATATTTTTTTCAAATCTGGTAAGAATATTTTAATAAATTAATGATATAATGTATTTTGAGTTGCAATGCTGGTTTTATTATGAAAAAAAATCGAAAATCAATTACTATCATATTATTTTTACTTATAAATTTGTAGTTAAATCAACAACCAAATTAATACTAATAATGAGCTTATAAGTATTCGATATAGGTTAGACATCGGGTAAGTCAAGTACGTGTTGTATAAGATTTATAATAACACTGATAACGAAATACTGTGAAACTATAGTTATTTTTGTATATTTTGATAACAGTTATACATAGGATTAAAATCGTAGCTATTCATATGCTTGATGTTGATGGGAGAAAAACTTTTAATTTTCAAAAAATAAACTTAAGTAATATAAAACTAGGTTTTAAACTTACTTCAACGTTTCAAACCCGGTGAGCGTGGTCCGACAATCTAATGACGTCGAGCATTCCGTGCCATTCGATCTCGTTAAGTCTCATACTTCTGAAACATACACAAACAATCTAATCAGAAATGGAAAAATATTATCAAAAATATTTAATGAAAAAAAATTGCGTTATCACTAGAAGAAACAATGGTTTAGTAACAACGACGTATAGAGCAAACGGCGTTCATTTAACACACATATTCATACTAATCGATTGCGCTGTGTTATTCACGAGCGTTTATTGCGTGAAAATGCGGATGTGACCACTTGAAAGAAACACTGTACGTGTACGCTCCAAACAAAAATCAAGTGTAATGTGTATGATAAATAGTGTGGTGGCGACCCAATAATTAAAACGTTTAAAAAAAATTCAAGCTTTTTAATTTTCAAAAAATAATAATGAAAACATTAAAAAAAAAAAATAAGTAATTATTTGGATTTTAATAACGCGCAATAAACTTAGGCGGTATAGTTGTTCAACATGATTAAGAGAAAATCGTTTTCTCATAAAAGATGTATAAAATAGTTTTGCTTAACGAGCCGGGAAGCAAATAAAGAAACACGGATGAAGCTGAAATCATTTAATTACGAAATGCATTTTTTCAGTTAGCTCGTATTTTAAAAGTGTAATTTATATGGGGAATTACCGATTAGCATTTTAAGAGGCTGTCGTCACCGGGTCCAATCAATGGCCACAGAGAGATGGAAGGGGGACGTCTGAAAATAATTAAATTCGCGAATAACATCCATTGTTTAGCCTGGTATCCGGACGTCGAAATTTGTATAATGGCCGTAAAAATGAATTCGATGTATTACGTAAACATTGTGTCGTCGTTCCGCGCCACAAATAAATGTAAGTAATAATATTATACTTATATACCACTGTGCGAACAACAAACCTTGAAAGTTTTTATAAGAATGGTCAATCGACCAAATAATAACGACGTACAGTACATCAAAACGGCTAACTCCGCGCGTCGTCATTGTCATTTATACGTTTCATAATGCATACGGTATTAAAATATTAAAATTGCAGAGAGACGAAAACTTCTTATATACATTAAAGCCGGTGAATATTAATTATACACCCGTGTAAACGGTACATATATTATTATAAGATTAAAAGCACGCGAACCAGTTGTTCGTTTTTCCCACGAAGAAATGTGTTAAGGCGATGTGGCTCGACGGCGGTCATTAATTCGAGCAGCGCGAAGGAAAAATGTAGGAAAAATGAAAATAAATAAAAGCGTGTGCTTTTTGTGATATAATACAATGGTGCCCAACCCACGGCCCGCGGGCCACATGTGGCCCTCAAAGGTAATCAATGTGATCCGTTACAATTTTTTTAAAACGAAACAAAATATAAAAAATGTAATAATTTGATTTTCGTGCATTTTCAAAAAGAAATTTCACGATATAACTCGAGTACTTGAAAGAGTGTACTGATCAAATTAATGTGTACCTCGATCTGTAATCTTTTCAGTAATCAATAAAATATTTGAAAACGAATTCAACACGTACATTTTATACCTACTGTGTGTAACGAAATAACGTTATTAAACTAATATCGATATTATCCGTACTTTTATATTCGGTAGCCCGTTCTAAGATAATTGTTTACCAAAGTGACCCGCCGAGGAAAAAAGGTTTGACGTCACTGATATAATTAAATACGTAACATGTACGGCGAACGTATTCGCTGGGGCGACCGGCGGAGGAAAGGACTCGCGTTCCAAATCCCGCCGGCAGTCCAACGGTATACGGTATACCTGTCGTGTGCGGGCCGAAAACAACGCTGCGGGATCGCTGAGTAACTTCGTCGACGACGGGCAAAAGTTTTTCCATTCGAAAACCGACCACAAACGCGTTTGTTACGATTTGTCGGACTCGCACAGGTACACGCGGGTACGTTTAACACATGACGATCGTAATATTATTATTAATATCGCATCACGGCCGAGCACACTTTTCTCCGCTGAGGACCACCGCCGCCGTGTCGACCGACGGTTACCGAGTGCATACACCGACTGAACCTGTTCGGCGCGTGCACGCCGTGTGCGCTCACCGCTCACGCGCGGTAGAATAATATGCATCTCGTCGGTCGGAGTTTGCGCGTTACAAATAACATCGTACATAGTTTTCAAGGCTCTGCCGAGAACGTGTTGCGCCAGCGGACTCGTCAGAATCGTCGTCCGACTTACAGGGCCATACACTTATACTGCTGAATGTAACTGCTATTAGCGATCACCCTAGTTTCAACTCGAAGAGTCGATAGATAAGTTTCATAAGCACATCTTTTGTTTCGTTTAAAGCCACCGGTAGACGTGTTGGAAAACATTTAGAAATATATAAATTACCGATAACCGCCATGACGCACGTACACGAAATTCCACATACCGTTTTATACAATTGAGCGGTGTGAAATTTTTGCGATGATTATTTATCGACACGAGAACATTGTAAATCACTATTAAATGAATATATATATATTTACACGTTTTCGTTTGTTCGTCAATTTTACTTATTACAAATAAGGTTGGGTGTCGTTCTCTAATCTCCTCATTCTAGAATAAATATATATATATATATACTCCCTTCCATGAGCATCTACTCGTGACTAAGTCAGCGTAGCAAGAATGTCGAGTCAACAAAACGTAAACGGTTGTTATAGTTTAGGAAAAACTGACAAATGTACTTATATGTTGTACAACGTTTACATGTTTTATGGTAGCCGTAGTGTTGCAAACGTTCGTATATTGAGTGTCATCAAGTTTACCAAGCCTGTCGCGCGAATGCAGCTGTATCGGTTGTACGCGAGTTATCCAAAACTATTTACCATCGATGCAATTGGAATGGTACATCGGTACAAGAGCCCGTTGTAGTCGAATACGATTGTTAAACATATAACGTAAGAGTGGTAGGATGAAAATATATAAACGTCTCTTGTACATAGGACCTCACGAGTATTAAATTAACCTCCGTTGAGTTTACGTATTTGAATCTCTAGTTTACATGCTATTATTTCTGGTGTTCCGTGTCAAATGTTTCATGCGGTGTGCCGTCGTATGCAAAGATTGAAAAACACTGCAGTGCTGTACACGCGAAACGCATTGAATTTCGAAAAGAAGAAAGAAACGTTTATTGCAGTTTTTTACACACCGAATTCCTTAAAAACCAACCTTTTTCATCCCGCACCACAATATTATATTATATATCGTCAACACGATTTCTTTCGATTTGCTCTCTCGATGCTACGCTTTACATCACTGTCACACGTCGTTTCTACCTGGAATCGGCCTGACCGGATGAGGTTAGGTAGATGATGACATATGTAGAGTTGCAGTACGCGTAACCGAAGAGTTGTCTCGTACTATACTAATAGTCATAAATGAACAATAATTATTTGTTCCCGGCATTGTTATACATTATTTTTTTACTCTTGTCTGAATTGTCATGAAACTATATAATACATCTATAAACAATATAACGACAGTGGGTGTATGAAGCAATTTATCGTTACCAAATATTATTTAATTAGTTACAATGATTCTTTAATTAACTATTTTATTTTAGAATATCCAATAGTAATAAGGTAATGTTACATGTTCATGTTGATAATTTAATTATCATTAATGTCCAGTTCATCGACATCCGAAGACCGATGATCGACGACCAACCTATTTCTGTTTTATTTAGCTTCCAAGATTACTCAGTTGAAATGATCAGTTTTCGAACCTTTTTAACGTCTAATATCGTTCCTTAAACAAGGAAAAAAGTAAATATAGGTACATCTTACCCAACAAAATCATTCACCTAATAATTTTTACCTCTATGTTTCTTCTTTTTCCTTTTGGGTTATCACACATCTAGGTAGGAAAAACACTTCAATAAGATTTTAAACTTACATATTTAAGAAAGTGTTTATTTTTAGAATGAATAATTGATATTAACCAATTCTAATTTTCAAGTCTGAATTGAATTCATATTTTACCGATTTCTGCTATACCCTCGTATATATTATTCCTCGTTACCAGTGCAAAAATACATTACATACTTAACCACATACGTAATCGGTAAGTTATTTACACTAATCGCACCATTTTCATACACTTGTGTATGTAGTTTTCCGCTCATAAATTATATAAAATTTCTGAAAAATGTGCCAGGAAAAAAAGTCTGCGGAAAAAACGTCTCCGGAAAAAAAATACAGTAGTACAATAATAACATAGTTACCATATGAGTGTAATTCTCGATATATTATTTGTATATGAAAAATAGTTGATAAAAGAAGCCACCCATAAATGATGACTCTTTCACAAATATATAAAAAAAAATTCAAATATAAAGCATTTATTTTAAGTATGAAACAAATATATTTATATATATTTCGAATAATATATTTTTTATAAACAATAATCCGAAAAAAAAAATACAAAAAAATACACTCATTATACCCTATATTTGTTAAGAACAAATCAATGCTCTCAATTCAAATTTTCCTCCTGTTCATTTTTTACATAATGTTTTTAGTTGGGTTTGTATTATATGTCCTTCATGTAATCGCTTAGAAGTTGATAACATAATTTCACTCGATGTTAATTTCGCTTTATAAGCCTCTACTTCATTTTTACATTTTTTTAATAATTTTCAAATCGATGGATTTTTATGCGTTACTAAATGACTAAACCTATTATTTCACCCTTACACACGTTGTTCGTTATACTACAAGCCAGTAAGGTACTTAGGTGCAAATCCCACATCGAAGACGGGAATTGAGGAGGAAGTCGACGAAACCGAATACTTAAATCATCATCAGTTCTTATTCTATTTGTTATTTTATAGGCTTGTATAATCGTTTGTTCAGGTAGGTATAAACAACCTATATCAATTAGATAAAGTAAAAAAAAACTTTTATTTCGTAAATTACCCAGATTGAAATTAACTGGGACTTTTTTTTTCATTTACCACTATATTACATACGCCTAAAAAATACATAAACATTATGGATTTATTCAGCATAAATAAATATGTAATACATACATAGACTGGATGAGTA